GAGGAGGCTGCTTCACAGCCCATCTCACAGTTTAAGGCACAGGAAGGAGCCAGTACAGCCTTTCTGCTAAGCATTACAGGGCTGTGTGCTGTCCTCAAGTGCTGAGCCTGAACTGGAGCACGTGGCAGCTGCACCTCTGTAGCTGTGGGCCCTGCCCACAGCCCTGTGTGTCTCTAGGCCTGTGTTCATACATGTTACTCACGTGTTCTGGTGTGCACGCTGGATGCAGTTGAAGATACGCCCGTTTTCAGGGTCTGTGCTGTACATGGTTGGATACTGCCAAAAAAATAAACCAGCAGCAAAACATGAGCAGGCACAGTCTGGGCTTGGAGCCTGTTCTCCAGCACAGGGAGTGTGCCCTGCAGCACCTCTCTCTCCAGGGCTGCCTGGGTGCTTGCTGTGGCAGGTTAGAGCCTGTCTCCTGCCCCATGGCCCACAAAAGCTGTGTTGAAGGTCACTGCCTTCCTCACTGCTGGAGCTGCTGCCTGGCTGCAGAGGCTTCCCCAAGCCTCAAATCCAGCCCTCTGTGCACCACGTGCAGTGGGAACATTTGCTACAATCCTGACTTGATGTAGTAGGAGTAGGATCACCCCAACAGGCACCTGGGGCTTTTTGCCCATCCCTGCTTGCCACTTCCGTGGTGAAAGAGCAAAGGAGCTCGAGGGTTTGTGCTCGAGCCAAGTGACACAGCAGCTCTGCGTGCAATCGCCCTGACTCACAATAGGATTGGCTGACCCCACCCAACCCACAGCCCTGCCTGGCTTAGAGGCTCCTCAGTGGATGCTGAGGGAAGGTCACCTTGAAACACTTCCTGTGACAGGACTCACATCCTCCCCCTGACTTTGAGAAACCCTCCCATCACTTTTGTTCCACTGACTCCTTTACCCCCCCCAATGCTGCATCAGCCATATTTGCAGCCATGTGGTTTCTTGCCCACTGATGTTGCCAAGCTGTCTCAGCTTGGTGCCAAGTGCCTGATGTCCCACATCCTGAGCTCTGTTGTGCTGTCTGGAGAGCCATGACAGCTCCATCCCTTCGGCATCTGTGTGGTGGGGCAGGAAATGTCAGCAAGTCACCCCAAAAGAAGCAAGGTGTCACCTAGCCTGTCTGCAGCACCCCCAGCAGACAGGCTCCGACCTCCCCATCCCCTCAGCCTGAGCACTCACGTCCACATTGTACTTCTTGCGGGCCTTGCCCACCTTCACGGCGAGATGCATGACCAGGACGAAGCTGGCAGCCCCGGTCAGCATGACGTACCCATACTCCTTGGAGAGAACAGCCATCCTGGTGCTGTCAGAGAGAGGGAGCAGATTAATATTTTGGGGTGTGACTGGAGAATTGGCAGCGTACAGCGCATGGATATGCGTGCGTGGAAGAGTTGCTGAGCATGGATCCAAGACCTCCCAGCACGGGAACTGGCTGAAGGAAGAGAGAAATGGTGAGTGGGGGGATTTTCAGCTCTTGGAGCCAGCTGGGCATTAAGCAGCACAAAGCAAGAGCTTTCTGCACAGTTCTTGTCAAGCAAGCCTTAAAATCACCTAAGCATTAGTGGGAGGCGATGTCTAGAGGACACTAGTCCAGCCTGTGGCTCTGAGCAGGACAACAGCCATCAATGTGTCCCATCAGCTCTGACTGTGCTGGTTGTGTCCCATCAGCTCACACAGTGCTATGCTGCAGGGATACTCAGGAGACAGGGAGAAAAAACTGATTGCTCATGAGCTAGGGGACCACCTTCCAACCCCAGAGCTGAGGGCCACCAAATGAAGTCAGGGAACACACTGGAAACAAACCAAGACAGGTGTTTTCTCATGCAGTGGGAACCAGACCTGTGGAACTCCTCGCTAAGGCACAATGTGAATGCAGGCAGTCCTCATAAATTCAACAGGAAACTGGGCAAGCTCTGGGAACAAGAGGTAATTTGGACATTATGATACAGAGAAATACAAACTAGCTCAGAAACCCCCTGAGCTGAAAGGAGCTGGGCTACATAAATGGTTATTTTGTACCATTAAGGTGAATACTAATAAACCGCACCGCAATGGCAATAGTAACCTAACCTTTTGGGTAAAGAGGCACTGGCCAGATGAGCAATGCTCGACCCCACAGCTCCCAGGAGCCCTCTCAGTCACAAATCAGTGACCAGCCCCAACAACACACAGCTGCTGGCAGTTACCAACATCTGCACAAGCACCTCTGCGGCAGGAGATACCAGGGCCTTTGTGGCTTTTGTTAAACAGTTCTGTGCTTCCTCAGGCAGCCTGAGACAGAACCATAGAGCAAGAGGAGCATCTTGCAGCCTCTGCCATGCTGCCCAGCATCGCATGTTCTCCGTATTTCCCACTCCCCATCCTGCCATCAGCCTGCCCTGCTCAACACGGAGCTCTCTGGCTCCCTCCCAGCACAAGAGAGCACAAGGGTCCTTCCCCACAACCATATTGCACAATTCCAGACCTCAGAGTTTTTCTGGGTGACCCAAGAGGGTGCTGCATGACACAGCTCAGCAGAAGACAGAAGAGCACCAAGATAATTCCCTCTCCAAACCAAACACCAGTTGGCGCCTGTCTCCAGATGGCGACTGCACGACTGCATGATATAGTGAGGTTTTGGTGCCTCCTGCTCTCTCCCCTCAGCACAATCTGTCAGTGGGGGGGGAAAATAGGCCACCTCAGAACCAGTGCAAACAGCCTTCCTGTCACAGCAATGTTGAGCTTTATTTCTCATTTGGATGGAGCAAGGTGAAGACAACAGCTGGCTTTGTCCGCATGAAGTTTGGTAAAAAATTATCAGTAAGAACATTAAAAGCCTAAAGTAATAAAGAAAAGTCAGCGGCATGCGCCTGTAATTGAGGTTAGCGCTTGATAGAGACACACTGAAAATAGAACATGTTCCCACCTAGTAGAGCAAGTTGATGGTCACATTTCCCCCTTTAAATTACAAGGTTGTTGGAGAACCAGGCATTTTATCTTCCAGCATTAGATTATATCTGGGGGTTTATCTTGGGAGCAAAGAGCTCAGCAGAGCATTAAGCCAGTTGAGTCATAAAGTTGCTATTCCTACACTAGTGGTATAAAAGTGTACCTCAAGCCTTTACTCTATTGATTTGGAGCCATATAGAGCACTCCAAAGTCACCCAGGACCTTCTACCTCTCCCATGATCGTTTCCGGGTTCTGGTGCCCGGAGCGTTTCTGAAACCTTTGTCCCCAGCTGCAAGGGCTTTGCTGACATGCACCGTCACGGGCACAAGACTCGATTTCTACTTTCCATGCAGCGATGTTTCAGGCTGGAGCCACACGAACAAGAGATTGTGGAGCACGACAGGGCACAGAGCGGGAGCAGTAGTGCTCTCAGAGGTGCTTTTACTGCAGAATAAGGGTTCTTACAAGTTTACCATAACACTGCAGCTACTGTGAGTCAGCAAAGCGCATTAAGGCTCCTCGAGCAGACCCACGCGCAGATTCTGACAGGATTTCCCGTTTTAATCTCAGGCTTTCCAGGCTTTCTCTCGAGCCAGGAGAACCCTTTGTCGCCCCGTCCCCCCGTTCGCTCCAAGGCTGAGCCCTCCCAAGCCAGGCGGGGCCAGGCTCAGCCTAACCCGCCCGTGCAGGGGGGCAGGCAGACCCCCGCGCCCTGCTCGTCCCGCAGCCACCTTCCCCCGGAACCTCCCTCGCGTGGGAGGATGTCCCCGGCGCTTCTTCCATTTTCCCCACCGTCCATCGGGACAACCTGGATAACCGAGCCCTGGGAGCATCCCCCCCGTCCCCACGACCCCGCTGCCGGGGTGCCCGGCCCCGCACTCACCCTGGGCGCGCTGCGGGACAGAGCCGGGGACTGAGCCGGGAACGGAGCGGGAGCTGTAGCGGCAGCGGGAGCGGGGCCGGGCCGCCCGCAGCACCGCCCGCAGGCGGGGCCCGGGGCTCGGCCAGGCACGATCAGTCTCACTGCGAGAGAAGAGCGGGACAGGGATCCCTGTGGCTCTGCAGAGGGATTTGCCGGTGTCCCCCGGCAGCTCTACGCGTGTCCCTAGCACACGCAGACATCGTTATCCCGCAGCGCTGCCCTGCCCGCTCCTCGCCCTTTTCGCCATCCCCATTATAGCTTAGACAGATCTCAGCTCTCGTTCTGAGTCTACAGTTTAATGGCTCTAAGTTTGGTAATTCGTACGGTGCTTGCTGAAATCTGCTTTTCCCTTTCATTTCACCAGACCCTGCTAGTGCCGGACGGAGCAGCCAGTGTTTCACGCGTGGAGATGCCATGCTTGGTTGTGTAAGCAGGTACTTGCCCTGGCAGTTCCCAGTGCTAGTGATAAGAGGGAGCTTGCTTACATCTCACTTTATTCTGGTCTGTAGATGCAATCCTGGCATTTTGACATGGACACACAAGCCATTTCCAAGAATACTTGGAGAATGTGTAAGCAATATTTTTTACTTAAATCCTATTTTAGGGTTATGTGACACCAAACCAGAGCTGGACTTTCCAGTTCTGTAAATGTACATAATTCAGTGGAGGACGTACAGGGGGTCTGGCTGCAGAGGGACAGAGGGTTCTTCTGCTGTCACTGGTGTAATGGGGAAGAAAGTAGGAACCACTGGGCTCCTGGGCCCCTAAAAGTCCTGGTTTTAACTTCTTTGCCTTTCTACAGCAGAAAGTTCTTGGATTCCCTGGGACTCCAGTAAGCTTTCTAGGCTGGTTCCAGTAAGCTCTGCTGGTCTTTCTGGCCAGGAAGAAACTGGTGACATCCCTAACTACAGCACAGTGCCATGGCCTTTCCCGTATTTCAGTCAAGCCAGTGCCTATGTCCCTACTTTTCTGTGGTCTCAAGGTAAAGTAGGAGTAGAAATGCCTGGCACTGTGCACACCTCTCACTATCCCCTCCAAAATGAACATTTTGCCCGTGTCCTGGGTCCCAGTGGCAGAAGAAAAGTGGAGGTAGTAGCAAAGCAAGTGAAAGTGGAGCGCAGAGACTTCCTCCTCTTGCAGTGTTATTTCACTTCCAAAAAAAAAAAAAAAAGGCATTTAGAGTGGGACATCATGTGGGAAATCAGGCAGGAAGGGCCTGCCTTTGGTTCCCACAATGGGAGTTCAGAAGGGCTGGTCCTAAGTGGCTGTTTCTTCTTCCTCCTCCTCCTCCTCTTCCTCTCCCTTTGAAGCATGGATTTTGTAGATAACAGCACAGATGCCGGCCAGCCAGGCTGTAATGGTGCCAGCAAGGAATATGCAGAAGCCAACGAGGCACAGAAAGACGTAGTCTGTCTTGTGTAGCTGGGTCAGGCAGGTGAAGTGAAGCTGTGCCTCCACTGCCTGCATCCTCAGGGCTTGCAGGCCTTCTGGGGTGTAGCAGGTGATGTTGTCAGCATCTGCAGAGGGAGAAGCAGAAGCAAGACTCTCCAGCCTGTGTCTAAAGCTTTAGTGAACAGGAGTCCTGCTAGAGAAATGGTGGAGAAGTTTGCTCAATGCCTGAAAAATGTATACACACTTCACACCCCTCTGTCTCAGTGGCTTGGGCGAAATCTGAACAGCCAAACTCATGCTAAACCCATGCCAAACCACAATTCCCGGGTTGCCAGAATGATTTCTGTGGTGTTGCTTCCACAGGAAGGTATTGCCCGCTGGATTATGGCACTGCAGCAAACTGCTGTCCCTGCACTGCTCATCTCTGCTGATTGAGCACTTTCATCTTCATGTGAGAGCACTTGTGTGTGTTGGTTTTCTCATTCTCAAACACATTCTGAAGTGAAGAAGCCTAAATTATGCTGGAATAATGAGGCTGCTGCTCATTTGACAAGTAGGGTGGTTTGCAGTTAGGCACAGCCTTGCCTACTTTGTGAGAGAGGCAGAGGCAACTCATCAATGATTCCGTTCCACTGAAATAACAACTATGCCCTGTCATATTGAATACCTGCAGTGATAAAACAGGTGCTGGCTGTTCCCTCTCAGGCTAGTGAAGGGTGAGTGTGGTGCCTTATAGAAGCTGGGTGTGCCCTCAGCCATGGCCCTCTCCTTCCTCTGCAGGTTTGGAACCCCCCAGACACTGTGCTGGACACAGGCTGGGCACTGTGTGGTGCACAGGATGGAAGAGCCTCAGGGAAAGGGAGCAGTGGAGGGGAATGAGCCACGGGAGACTTATATCCCATGTTGTTATATTGTATATGGCTGAGTGACATCACTGCTGTTCACAATGATCTCACTAATGGTCCTGGGTAAAACTTGAGAGCTCTTATCTCTCTTTTACTCAAATCCATCCAAACTTGGGCAGCTTTGTGTCAGCCCCCAGGCTGCACAGATCCAGCTGAGCCTAAAACATGGGTGCACAGGCATTCGTGAAGCATCAGTAGCTTTTTGAAGGCCAAGGTGGGGATCTTCTTGCAGCAGATTCCAGAGCTCTGTCCCCGTGTCCCTTTGCACTGGATCCATCAGCTCCTGGAACAACCCTCATTTTAGGGCTGCCTTTCCCTGCCCATGTATTTGTGATACAGGGTGTCCATCCTGTGCATGCTTTCCAGCAGCCCTCCTGGAGGCACACAGCCTCCTGTGGACTCTCCCACAGCATCTCACCAGGACAGAGCAAAGCTCAACAGAGCAGGGAAGTGAAACAGCCTCATCGGCTTCCTTGGTTTCTTTGGATTTCCCGTTTTCCAGAGCACAGGGTAGGGATCTATACTCATACCTTCCAGTCTTTGCTGTCACTGCCTTTCCTGCTCCTACCCTCTCCAGTTGGCTTCAATGAGCTTTAATCTCCTGTTGCAGGGTTCAGTGGGTTATCTCTAATCTCACTGCGAAGAACTGTACTTTATTACAGTGTTCCATAATTGCTTGTAATCTGTATGTGGAAAAAACCCACTTTACTGCCTATAGGGAGCTTACTACATCTAATAAAGACATAGAGATGTCTTTAATTTGGTTCTTTCCTAACACCAGCACCCCTGGTTTGTGCAACAGCACAAGATGGAGCCCTCAGATGACATGCAGTGGCACAGCCCCATAAACTGAACTTTGGGCCAAGATAACAGAGGGCCCTCTCCGTTCCACACAGATCTGTGGGAGCAGGGAGGAGAGAGGTTCTGCTCACACAGCCCTCACCTGGAAAATGAATGTTGCTCTCTGTCATCCAGGTGATGAAGTCCAAAAAGGAACAGTTGCAGTGCCACAGGTTGTCACTGAGCCCCAGAAACCTCAGGTTGGGCAGGTCCCGGACGGTGCTGGTGTCCAGGAATGTTAAGCCTGTCCGGCTCACATCCAGGTGCCTCAGCCAGGTGTTGTTGGCAAAAGCATCCTTCTCGATGGCCACAAGGTTGGGATTGTCCGAGATTTTCAGCACCACCAGACTGAGGAGGTGTGAGAAGGTGCTGAAGGTGACCTGGGTGAGGTTGTTGAAGCTGAGGTCCAGATAAACAAGCTTGGCCACACCAATGAAAGTGAAATCCAGGTCATCCCCCAAGAGGTTCTTGCTGCAGTCCAGGTACACCAAATCAGCCAGGAAGCTCAATTCCACTGCCGGCAGGTACGAGACATTGTTTGCCGCCAGAATCAGCTGCCTGGTGTCCAGAGGGATATCTGCAGGGAACTCCTGCAACTGCTGCCCGGTGCAGTTCACTTCCAGGTACTGACAGCTACACCTGCTTGGGCAGTTGCTCCTCTCTGATGCCATCCCCATCCCCAAAAGAAACATGAGGCTCAGGGGCTGTGGTCTACCCAAAGGAGACATGGTTTGAGACATTCAAGGCCCCTCAGCCCTTTGGGGGCTGCGAGCTGCCCTATGAAAGCTGCGCTACCCTCACAGCCATGCCGAGGAGGTGTCTGGCTGCAAGGCTGTTGGGAAGCACTTTGTGTCCGTGTCTCATCTGACCCCTTGGCAGAGTGCCCAGCTGGAAACTGAGCCTGGTTTTTACATCGGCAAGTGTGGAACAGTGGCTGGAGCGTCTCTGCCAGGTGACACCTCCGTGATGTCAGTGGCATGCAGAAGCTGCCTGGTTTCGGGGACACTGCTGTGACCTTGCTGACCTGCTTCCAGCTGAGTGGAGGTGTGGCAAGCTGTGTGTGGGATAAAAGCACTGAAACTACGTAGGGAGAGCAGTGAACAGTGCAAATGTTGTCAGAAATGGTGTCACACTGCAGTAGGTGCTCACTGGTTACTGATTAGGAAAGAGCCCCGTGCAATGCTGCACTGGGTTGGCATCGTCTTATTGCAGGAGCCAGGAGGTTCTTGTCCCACCTGCAGTACTACGTCCAGGTCCAGGATCCTCGGCACAAGGAAGATGTGGACCTGTTGAAGTGGGTCCAGAGGGGCCATGAAGATGCCCAGAAAGCTGGAGCAACTCTGGCGAAGGAAGGGGACAGGATGAGAGAGCTGGGGCTGTTCAGCCTGGGGAAGGTTCTGCGGAGACCTCATTGCAGCCCTCCAGTACTTATCCAGGGCTTATGGAAAAGAGGGAGTTTTTACACAGGCAGATGGTGATAGGACAAGGGGGAATGGTTTTAAACTAAAAGAGGAGAGGTTAAGATTAAATATTAGGAAGAAATTATTCTCTGTGAGGGGGGTGAGGTACAGGTTGCCCAGAGAAACTGTGACTGCCTCATCCCTGGAAGTGTCCAAGGCCAGAGTGGACGGGGCTTGGAGCAACGCGGTCTAGTGGGAGGTGCCCCTGTCCATGTCAGGGGGGTTGGAACGAGATGATCTTCAATGTCCCTCCCAGCCCCAACCACGCTGCGATGTCCCCGCAACTCTCCGCTGCCAGCCGCGTCCGAACGCACCGCGCTGGCCCCGCCCCGCCCCTCCCCTCACGGCCAACGGCCGCCGCGGGGGCGGGGCCTCCACAAACCACGCCCCGCCCTCCCCGCGACGGCGCGGCGACGGATAGGGCGGGGGCTCCCTAAGCCCCGCCCCTCCAGCGGCGGCGCGGCCGCTGATAGGCCGGCGGGCGGTGCGGGGGCGGCGCGCGGGGCATTCAAGCGGCGGGCGGGCGGCGGCGCGGCCGTTGTGTCCGGGGCTCGGGCTGCGCCTCCTCCTCCGCCGCCGCCATGGAGACCATGACTTTCCCCCGCTACAGCCCCGACGAAATCATCAACTCCCTCCGCACGTACGTCCTGACGGGCGCCGAGGGCCGAAACCTGGTCAAGAGCGACCTGTTCGGCACCCCCAAGGTGGGTGAGGCGGCGCGGGGCGACTCCGCGTGTCCCCCCTTCCCCCCCATCCCCGTGTGTCACAGGGCGCTGCCCCGGCCCGTGTCACCGCGGGGTGGGTGCTCCGGGGTTGGTTTGGAGTCCCGGGGCTCTCCTCGCCTCTCGGGCCTCGCCAGGAAATGGGGGTGGTGTCATCACAGTACCTGGCCTGTCTTTCCTAGTTCTGTGGGAACTGGGTTAACATAGCGGCAGTGGTTGGTAAAGTCTCGTAGTTCCAACAGTTTGGCTGATAAATCAGTGCTTTAAACCGGCCCCGGCTTCTAAACCCGTCCCTGCTTCACCCTCTTTCTTCTTGTGTCGCTCCGACCATTAATGTTGCTGTTAATGAGTGTCCTTAGCGGAAGAAAAGTGGCTTTAAAGTGGAATTGGTGCCTCAAGGTGGCTCCCTGTGCTTGTGCCTGTGGAGGGAGGGGTCTGGCCCTAGTTGCTTAAGAAATGACAGGATGATGGTTTTTAAGAAACAAAATTGATAATGGATTAGAGCTATAAATGAAAAACTATTTGGCTTATAGGTATTTTCTTTTCCCATTTGTTTTAGTATTGTGATGAAGGGCACTCTTTGCTACAAGATTATAGTTTCTGTGACTTTTTTTTGGTGTCACTTGGTTTGAAAACTGCTCCATGAGCAACAATGTAATGAAAACTGGGCCTGGCATACATAGTCAGGGCTGTACTTGTCTGAGCTGCCTGCTGTCCCTTAAAACTGAATCATGAGCAAGTATTGCTTGAACTGCAAAATATTGAAAACTGAAACTTATTTGTCTTGGTGGCTCAGTGAAATCGACCTCCCTGTGTTAAAGGCTGCACTAGTTTTATGGCCTAGCCTGGGAGCCCTGAATAATCAAACATATGGAATACTGATTCATGTCCTTTCTTCCTGCAGCTTGACGTTTTACACCTGATTTACATGAGAATCCTGCAGAAGGTGTATGCAATCAACCTGGAGCACTTCTATGTGGTATGGCTGTGGTGGCAGGGTAATGGAATGTGAAAGGAAAAGAATATTGCTTTTAACAAGTGTTGAAGTTTCTCACTAGCAAATGGCAAGCAGCCTGGTATTTTGTGTGTTGTAATTGCAGCAATGGGAGCTTAGGAATTCTGCCTCTGTTGCAGAAAACTTGTGTGTGAAGTGCCATGGGCATCTGAGTTTGTGTTCAGGGCAGTTTCTTAGACAGGAGTGGGATTGCAGTACTGCAGCACAACCTTCGGCATGGCTCGTTAACCAGAGGTAAATGAACCTGGGAGCATCATCTGTGGGCTGTTGCTGAGGCCTTGAGAAGTTGCTTTGGTCATTGCTCTTCATCTGGATATTAATTTCAGCTCAAGATACCTGCAGGAATAATGGTTTTGTGGCTGTGCTGCCTCTAGGTTTGCTTCTTTTCTTTTTCCATGGAAAGTGGACTCCCTGCTTCACTGCAGGAACTAGTGGGCATGAAGAGGAGCTCACTTACCTCTGTAGGCTGTGATGACAGGCTTTGGAGAGCCCTCTCCTTTTGTGGTTAAACTGTGAATTTTGTTATTTGAGATGCTGAGGGTACCACAAAGGTCTGTAAAGTCCAGGAAGAACTGGACAAGCTTAAGAAGGGACACCATACATACTGAAAATACATACTGTGTCCTTGAAAGTACATACTGTGTCCTTGGGCAATTGCCTTTGCCCACAGCTGGAGGAGGTTGGACTGATCTAGAAGGAAAGTAAGTATTGCTTTTAATATTTGATCATCTTCATTCTCCATTAACTGTGAGAAAAGTAAGGAGAGGCCGATAACTCGCAGTGAACAAGGTACTTGGTCTTCTGTCTGTGTTAGGCAAGAACTGATGCCTGAAAATGAGAATAAATAGTGTTGTCTCATGGCATTTTTGGATATGCTCTTCCCTTTCAGTTTATGTGCACAAGGTAACTGTTCTTCACAGGGCATGACATTAGCTGGGGTACTGTATCGTGAGATTTAAAATATAAGAAAAATGTGACAGTGTACCACTACTTTCTCATTTTGACTTCCTCATAAAACAGTTGAGTGTGTCAATTTTGGCGTGTTTAAAGAAAAAGCTTCTTGCTGGTAGGTGTGTAATGCAGAGACTGTTGTCCTGCACCAGTTATGAACAAATGAAAGCAGAGTTTAGGTTGAGTTCCAGAGTTTGTAATGTTGCTGCTTTAGTTATTGTTGTCTTGTATGTTTTTCGGCCAAAAATGACACTGATTAACTTGATGACACTTTTCAGCCTTTAATATATGTTCCCTGTGGATGAGAAGACAATCCTCAGAGAGTGTAACCTATTGGAATTATCTTATGCTGTGGAAACCTGTGTAGTTTTTGTTATAATTATTCTCTACTTATGCACTGACTCTCTTTACTCTTTAGATGCCAGTCAACGTTGACATAATGTATCCACAGATATATGACGGCTTTCTACCTGTCTGCAATTTGTATATTCACATGTAAGTAAAAGATGCTGCATCTGTTCAGTTGCTATTTTTTGTGAAAGTCCAAGTTTTTAAAAGCTTTGGGGTTATATGCCTTTGTGCTGATGGTGATTCCACTGCTTGCTGGCTCTGAGCAAAGTGAAATTTGCAGATGAACAGGGGGCAGCAATATTTGATAGAGCAAAATTCCTATCTTGTAAAAATGAATGGGTTAAATAATCCAACCTCACCAAGCTGGAGCACAAATCCATACTTGGAATGGCTGGAGGGTCATCATTATCTAGAGCAGAAATCTTATGTTCCTGTTGTGTAAATTTGCTGTCTGAAGTCTGTTGGAATCTTGTGAGTGTTATAGACTTTAAGCTTTATTTCAGTTGTAAGGGGAGAATTGACTAATAGTTAGGTGTAGGAGTTCCCTAATTAAGCTGAAAAGTTGTTCTACAGGCAAGTATTTTGTCAATTGAAATATCTGAGATGCTGTAAGAATGCAAACTATTAATGCTGATCAGTGTGTGGAGTCCTGCTGTGTTACTCTCCTGAGACTTGTGCTTGCAGTGCAAATGCTCTGGGATGAGAGGACAAGACATGTTTTGTAGTAAATGGTTATGGCACAAAAGCTGAGTAATGGTCACCACAGATGAGGTGTGTCTTGTTTTCCTTGCAGGGAGCGCTTGCTGCCGGTGTGCCGGATTAATGATTTCCAAATTGCTGATATTTTAAACCCAAGTAAGCAAGTGCATTATAATTCTTGGGTTTCCTGGGGTGGTGGGTGTTGCTTGATATCCAGGTGCTTTTTCTTATTTGGCATTACCAGATGGACATCTAGTATGGTCCCTGGGTTCCAGCTCCTCTTCTGACCCTTGTTGTGGCCCTTTGACAAGTTGGTTCTACTGAGCAGTTCTTATTCCTTTTGTAGGCTGATCCAGGTCAATAACTGAGGGCAGTTTTAAATGCTATGAGTCTGTTGAACTGCTGATCTGGAGGGTGGACTGTGACACACTTAAAATAGTGTAAGAATAGATGGTAATGAAAATTACCCTGACAACTTTGGAACCCTGTAGGATTTCTTATGCTGATGCCTGTGTAGGAAGTGATTGGATTTTTGCTTCACCCTTTTAAGTACCCAGCTGTGGTGACTCTGCTATAACACAAACAACTTGAAAAAGATTGTTGTGAAGAACTCTTTCACTTCTGGATCTGTCTTGAATAAAACATATTTGTAATAATCTTTCACATTGCTTGGAATAAACCCAAGAAGTCCCTGCAGTTCAAATTGCTGCCTTCAGTTAGTCTGAGAGTTACAGAGGGGTTATCTCCTCAGAGTTGTAGTTCAAGATTGACACTCCTTCTCCCTGCCTTCTGTTTTAATGGGAGGCTGTGTGTTGACAGTCTTTTACCCAGGTGCCATTATTCATTTGCTGAATTGGACAGAACTGCTAAGAGTTTCCAACTAGCTTGGTGCTAGTTTTTGTGTAGTCTGAAATCTTTCCAAGGTGAGCAGGGGAAGAACTAATTTGAATTCTGTTTTGTAATTTCTGCCTCTTCTCTGAACTATATTTTGCCCAAGTTTTCATAAGCAATTGCAATGCATGTGGAAACCAGCACAGTGATATCTTGCAATTCCTATTTCAGAAACAAAGAGGACTGTTCGCTTCTTGAGTGGCATCCTTAACTTTGTGAACTTCAGAGAATTCCGGCGTCAGGTCTACTTGGAGTTACAACTGAACTATGTAAGGCTGGGTGCTGTGTTACTCCAGATGCCTATTTCAGTATAATTAATGTTAACCTGGAAATGGGAGCATAAAGGTTGTGGTTTAACTTCATGTTTGTGTAACATGTTGGAATTTTAAATGTAGCCAAGTAGTACAGGAAGGTACCAGTTACTACTTAGGATATTACTGAAAGGGTTTGTTTT